AGTTCTCTAAACTAGGGTCCCTGTCTAGGTCCCCAAAAGCAGTGCGGCACCCTTATGAAAAGAACCCGAAAAGGGACCGTAACTCAGAGAACTAACTGCCCACATAGAACCTTGAATGATTGCCAACGATTGACAACGCTATTCTTTAGGTGTCCTCATTTTCAGAATTACCTACAGTCTCCATTGTAGTTCTTTGTGGGGGGGTTCCCTTTTAGGATCCTTGATATAAAGCTGCTTAAGCCAAAAAAAAGGAACTACAATGAAGACCCCTAAACCCTAATCCCTAAACCCTAAACCCAAAACCCTAAACCCTAAACCCTAAACCCTAAACCCAAAACCCTAAACCCTAAACCCTAAACCCGAATTAGAGTGTTTTGTGTGCCGCGAAAGCCGACTCCAAGTCTTGAGGCTCCCGTATTTTGGATCAATCGCGGCTGTAGGGTTAGGGTTTAGGGTTTAGGGTTTAGGGTTTAGGGTTTAGGGTTTAGGGTTTAGGGTTTAGGGTTTAGGGCTTTGGATCAATCGCGGCTGTAGGGTTGACCTGTAGCCGAAAAGACCTACCCTTGTTAGGGTGCCTTATGATGGTTTCTACAGACCTTCTTAGGGTTCCTTATTGTGGTTTCTATATATTATATAGTTCCTTAATAAGGTAGGTCTGTCCGGCTATAGGTAGGGCATACTTCAGGCTTCAGGGCTTGAGGCTGTAGGAGTAGAGAATGATGCGGACTTACGGTTCCGAGATAATATAGGCGCCTTAATAATTAGAATAGGGTTTGGGGGTTTATATACTATAACTGTAATAAGGAACCCCCAAAACCCTATTCTAATTATTAAGGCCCCCACAAAAAAGGACTTCGGAGGTTCAGGGCTTTGAGGTCTTCGGTGGGTTTCAGATACACCACGCGGCATGGAGAATAGGCCTGGGTCCTTCGAAGGTTGCAGCGGGATCTCAGAGTGGTTTTGAAAGAAAGGGTTCTATGAGGTCTTTGATGATGCTGTTGCTATATGGCTTACAAGGTCTAATGGTGCTGGTACTTAGTAATCACTTAAGAAGCTGCGTCTCAGACGCTTGCAGGAGAGTTCGGGGAGGTGAAGAAGCACGTCAACCGCGTTGTCCACAAGGGCAAGAAATCTGCACTTCACCTTGCCCTGCTGAAGGACGGGTTACAGTTATAGGAGGCGAAAGCTCAAACAGGTTCTGGATCAATAGTACGATGATCTCCTTTCTTCGCCCCTACACAATGAGATTATACAGTGTAGTATAATGGTATACTTCCAAGTAGATCCTGAAACTTTATGACTGATTTCATCGAGATGGCCTTTGGATTCTTTCGTGACTGCTCCCCATGCATGCCAGATGCACCCTAAACCCTAAACCCTAAACCCTAAACCCTAAACCCTAAACCCTAAACCCAATGCACCAGGGCCACGCCGAGTGCGCGAAGTTCCTCGCGCTCAAAGGCGCAAGCCTCGAGACGAAGAGCCTTTGCTCCACAGCGGGGGGTCTCAAGTACACCTCCAAGGTACCCAGAGACTCCAGAACCCCTTACTTAAGGAAAATACCTTAAATCATATTAGGGATCCTATTATAATTTAAGGTATATTCCTTAATTAAGGGGTTTTGGAGTCTCTGGGCAATATTGTAGATTGTAGGGCTTAGGGCTTGAGGGTTTAGGGTTTAGGGC